TGGCAGCTATCCTGCCCTAGACAGCCACTTTCCTGTGCCTAGTGCGGAGGTCGTGGACGTTGTAGGCCTCCCCCCAAACCTCGACGAGGTCCACGATCTCCGCACTAGACCAGACGGGTGCTCGCCTTTTCAGCCCCGGGCAGGCTCCTAGGAACTGCTACCCTGGTCCGGGGAAGAGGCGGAGAGCTGAGTGGCAGCGGGTGGCTGGATCATACCATGCTAGGTGCAGGGTCTGCTGGCTGGGTGCTGGCAGGCTTGCACCTGTCACAAGCACCGTAGCCAGACTGTGCCCCTTTAAGGGCTCCGGGGCCGGGAGGAAGGCAGACAAGTTTCCCTGGTGGTGCCCAGAGTGGCCACCAGGGCAAGCTGGGAAGGGCTAGCCTCCCACTAGTTCAAATTAAGTGGCTATACAGCCCTTAATTCGAACTACTTAATTCGAACTAGGCGTTAGTCCTCGTGGAATGAGGTTTACCTAGTTTGAATTAAGCGCTCCACTAGTTCGAATTAAGTTCGAACTAGCGGTTTGTCTGTGTAGCGCTTATGAAAGTTAATTCGAACTATCGGCTGTTAGTTCGAATTAACTTTGTAGTGTAGACAGACCCTAAGTGTATGGGAGGGTGTTTCTGGTGCAGGGGGGTTATCTCAGGGCTGGTTTCTCTAGGGTGCTGTAGGGTATGGGGGAATGTTGTGTGTGTTCACCTGGAGTTGGGAATCCCAGATGTGTCTTTCATTCCCAGAGTGACAAGTGGCCTCCTTTTTTTCTCAGCTCTTCAGTGATGCAATCAAACTGGCTGTCGCATACAAACAGAATTCAGGAGATTTTATGGACGAGGTCATGAGGGAGCTGGAGGTAAGAGAGCACAGGCTAAAGCTCGCCTCCCTCTCCTTAGTGTATTCCAGCACCACACACCCTGCCTTCACCAGGAAAAAGTCCCCAGTCTCAACTTGGAGTAGGGTAAGGTGGGCAGCATGGGGGATCCTGTACAGCCGTGGTCACCAACTCGTTGATTGCGATTGACTGGTCGATCGGGAGGGCTTGACCAGTCGATCGCAAGGCATTCGGGGCCCCCTCAAATCCCCCCACCCACAAGTAGCCCCACTACCTACCTCCAGTGACAGTGGAGGCAGTGCCAGCTTCCGGCGGGGTGGAAGGAAGTCCAGCAGCTGCGCGTCACTTCTGGGGTTTTAGGAAGTGTACTGGCTGCTCCCCACCACCATCCCCTGCCCCAAGCAGCCGGCTCGGTACCACAGCCAAGGTCTGTGGCACGTCGGGGACTTGTTGCCAGGAGTGGGAAGGGGCGGAGGGTAGGTAGGAGTCCCGGGAGGAGATGCGCACTGGGGCTTCCCTCTGTCGGTGGAGGGGGGAGGAGTCCTGGGAGGAGGTACATGCTGAGGCTTCCTTCCTCTGGGGGAGGTGGCGGGGGAGGAGTCCCGGGAGGAAGCGCGTGCTGGGGCTTCCCTCCGCTGCGGGGAGGGGGGAAGTGTCCCGGGAGGAAGCGCGAGCCGGGGCTTCCCTCCTCTGCGGAGGTGGAGAGAGGAGGAGACCCCAAAGGAGGTGTGTGGCGGAGACTCCCTGTCCCCTGCCCCCACCAACACCCTATCCCCTGTCCCCACTGGCACCCTGCCCCTTCTGGCACCCTGCTCCCTGCCCCCTCTGGCACTTTGTCCCCACCCCAGCACCATGTCCTCTTCCCCCACTAGCACCCTTCCCCAGTACCATGCCCCCTGCTTCCACCAGCACATCAGTGAGGCTTGGGGGGTTGTGGAGGAGTTACTTTTTTGCATCTCACTTGTGTGGCCCCAACTGACTTTTCTGTGGGTCAGGGACCCCTGACTCAAAACAGGTTCCCCGCCCTTCTCAAAAATAAAGACAATGCTGAAACTTTTTGTGTTTGACAGAATAGTTTATTTAAAAATTAAGCCTGGCCAACAAACCCCTAATTGGGGCCAAGCCCCCATCTGGCTGCAGCATCATAACACTCCTGCACCCTCCCGCCCTAAGCCAATCATACACTGGAACCCCATGTCCTGACTCACATCCCCAAACTCCTGCACCCCCACATCCTCAGTCTTCTGCCACAACACTCCTGCATCAGCCACACACCGCAAATCTGTGTCCTGAGCCCATCATATTCCCAACCTTCCTGCCCTGAGCCCCTCACACACCCCAACCAAAACTCCTGCACGCTCACATCCATAAGCCTGTGGTTGCTCAGTACCCCAACCCTCCACCTGCCCCTAAAACTCCCCAGCCTAGAGCCCCTTCCCCGAGGCAGCGTCCCCTTCTGCACCTCCTCCTGTATCCAAATTCCCTCCCAGACCTTGCACCTCTTACCTCTTCCCACACCTAAATCCCTCATTCCCACTCCAAAGTCCATGCATCCAGTGAGGGTACGGCTAGACTGCAGGGCTACGGCTAGATTGCATCCCTTTTCTGTAAAAGGGATGCAAATTAGACGTATCGCAATTGCTAATGAAATGGGGATTTAAACCACCCCCTTCATTAGCATAAAAATGGCTGCCACTTTTTTCGGCACAGAGCTTTGCCAGAAAAAAGCATCAGTCTAGACGCGGATCTTTCGGAAAATAAAACCTTTTCCGAAAGATCCCTTATCCCTTATTTTAAGAGGGCTTCTGAAAGAAAGGGTTTTTCTGACATTTCGCCCAGTCTAGACAGGCCAAATGTTGGCAAAACCTCTTCCCAGAGAAGAATCGAAAAAAGAGAGGCAGTGTAGCCGTATCCTGGGAGTGTATAAGAGCTGGGGATAGCAAGTGAGGAGAAGAACAGAGAGGGCAGGGCTTCAAGGAAGGGATGGGGTCTTGGGGGAAGGATGGGGTGGTAGATCTTGACTTGTTCTGACATTTAAAAAGTGATCTTGGGCGTAAAAAGGTTGGAGACCACTGGTGTACAGCCAGTCCAGATCAAAGGGGGGTGAGGTGGGGTCAGTGCTGGGAGTGTTGTGGGGATCCTGGACAGGCAGTCCCAGGCCAGGGGTGGAAGTATGAGGTGCTGTGCTGAGTGTGCCATGGTGGGATGGGGAATGGCTGGTTCCCATTTGCTTCTCATCATTCCCCCTGTCCTGCTCCCTTCTAGAACTTTGAGCTGCAGAAAAAGGGGGAGGATTCGGATAAAGACGAGAGCTACCCCGAAGAGAAACCCCTGTCCAGCTGAGCCCAGGCTTCAGACCAGCCTTGTGCTGCTCCCCATCACCCCAGCTCCTTCGTGATTAGGTAAAACTGTCAATCTCTGCCTGATGAGAGCAGATTTCTCAGGCACTGGCCATGCTGAGCCACCTCTGGCTGGGACCATCCTGCTCCAGGGAAACCATTTGGATGTGATCTTCCTGGCCTTGGCCCCACCTTCCTGAGCATCCAGGACACAGACGGGACAAGAGTACATGACTGCTGCCTGCCTCGGGACCAGGAGGGGGCATTTGCTGGGGAGTGGGGCCGCTGCCTGCCCTGTCGGGAAGCGCCCTACCCACGCGTTTATTAGTGGAGCCCAGCTTGAGAAAACCAACACTAAAGGATTTTTATAAAGTACTGAGTCTGAGTCCTTTGTGCCCTGCACTTGGGTGCATGTTCAAATACCAGCCCTTCCCGCTGTTGATTCACTAGCCAGTTCTGCTTCCCGCCCTACTCACCATTTCAGCTCACCCCCTTTTACCCCAGTGTTTCTCTGGCATTGTTTGCCGTCCTCAAGCCCACTATTCCAGCCCAGCTGGCTCTGTGTGCCCCCAGCCCCGCCCACTCAGGGCCATATCGCCCCTTCCCTGCTCCATCATTGTAGCCCAGTTGACTGTGTATGCAGCCTCTGCGCCTTCGTGGCTGTGGGCATGGCATAAGGGATTGAAGAGAATAGAGGCAGAGCTGGCTGTGTTGTGGGCACTGTTTTACTCTTGGTGTGAGGTCAGCTCTCAGTCTCTCCATCCAAAAGGACAACGGGCAGGATAGGAGCTGGGGGCTGGTGCAGAGTCCTCTAGAGCAGTGGGCAAAGCATCGGAAATGGCCACTGTCCATCTCAGCCTCCGCTCTGCTCCCCTTCCTTCTCAAGTCCCATTTTCCTTTAGGCCCTGTAGGAACTCGTGCAGCTTCCTGAAGAAGTCAGATTGACTGATCTGGGCTGATGGGCAGGAGCCTGCCCTTGTTGTGGGCCTGATCCAGGGTGTGGGCCTGAGCCTAGGCCAGGGCCTGGGCCGGAGCCGGGGCCGGGGCCTGGGCCGAGGCTGAGGCTGGGGCTGGGGCTGTGGCCTGACTTTCCCCCAGATCCAGGTATGAAAGTGCTGGGTGGAGCTGTAGACTCCTGGTCTCTGTGCCTTGGCGCAGCCCATCCCCCAGCTGGTGACTCCAATGACCGAGAAGCGCTTTGACCCTTCTTCTGTGCACATGAGGGGGCCACCGCTGTCACCCTGCAGCCGGGGAGAGAAGTCTGAGGCACAGCCAGCTTGTCACTGATGAGCCAAGCTTGGCAGGGGGGCTGGCGCCTCCTTGGAAGAGGCTTAAGGACCCACATTCTTCCCTCTAGCACCTGCCACAGAGACGTCTGTCAGTTGGAGCTCAGAGGAAGGGGGCTCACCACTGAGGCCTGGCTAGCTTGGGCGGAGCCCTAGCACATGTTCCAAAAGGTGCCCCCCGCTCGTGGGGATGGACTGTCTGGGAGCTGCATCCAGGGCTTCTTCCATCAGGAGGCAGGTGCTGGCTCATTCTGTGCTTTGGTGAGCAGTGAGCTCTCAGCTCCCTTCTCTTCCTCCTCCAACAGAGAGCCCTCTTCAGCCAGCCTCTGAATGCAGCCACTATGGCATGGTGGCCTCACTCCCCACCCCCACGTGCTAGAGCTCAGGGGCTTTGCCTCTGGGTCCTGCATGCCATGTTCAGGGTATCGGCTTCACTGGCCCTGAGAGCCCCTGACCCATATTGGGTCTCTGAGTCATTGATATTAGGGATACTGGTCCCCTCTAGTCCATTCTGTGGCCTATTGCTTCGTGTTGTGGCCAGTCTCATTACAAAGGACACTAAACGAAGTTCTTCCCATTTACTTTAGGAGATTGACACAGCTCGAAGCAGCTCATTATGGGCTCTACGCCCCCCCCCCTTTCCTTTTGCATAGGGCTTTACACCCCTAAATACAATGGCACAAAGAAAAGCAAAGGGGTTTCCAGCTGAGATTACCCATCACATGGGGCTATGGAAGGATTCTGGCAGCAGGCAGGCAGAGAAGACTTCCATACCACCTGGCAGGGGAGAGGCCAGTGCTGGGAAAACAGAAGGACAGAGGCAAGAGGCATGGGTTTTAAAATGAGGTGTAGCAGTTTGCAAGGGACTGGGCACCAGTGGAGGAGCCTGAGGATGGGTGAGGAGGAATGATGCAGGTACCCAGTTAGAGGTGACAGGTTCTCACATGTCAGAAACAGCTACTTGTGGGACTTAAGGAGACCAGAGCCAAGATGAAACTGTTCTGGTTGGAGGAAGTGGGGAAGGATCTGGGTGGAAAAAGGAAGGAGAGGCAGAACACCAGATAGGGATATTGGAGGAAGTGGGAGCAGGGTACCACTGAGGATCCCACCAGAGCAGAGAGAGGTGAGAGTCTAAGTAGAGATCCCAGATTGGAGGGGTGGTGAAGCCACAGCACAGACAGTGAGTGGGGCTGGGATTGCACAGAGGGGCTCCGGCCTGTGTATTGGCAGCTGTCAGTGTCAGGCAGGCTGGTGATACCTGTGAAGTTGGGGCTAGTGCTGGGGGCGAGGGCTGTGCACTGAGAAGGCTCCAACCGGTATACCTGGCAGCTGTCGGCACCTGGGCAGAGGTTGGTGATGCCAGAGTATGCCGGGGAGTTTGGGGTTAGTGCCAGGAAGGGGGCTGGGCAGTGAGAGGGCTCCGGGCTGAGTACCTGGCAGCTGTCGATGCCTCCTTGCTCGTACCCTGCACACAGGTTGTTGCTGGCGATGGCCCCGTTGTACCAGCGGCTGCTGTTGCAGGTTGTGGTGTCAATAAGATGCACCTTGGCTTCCTGCAGGATGTCAGCTGTTTCCAGAGCTGTGGGGACATGAAGAATATTTACTGCAGAGCTTCGAGCCCTATTTCCTGCTTCCCAGCACCGCTCATGGGTGTTCCCCTCCCCTGGTGCCTATCCTTGACTCTGCTGTCACCTTTGCAGGAGGTAGCTTTGCTATGCATCCCCTCCTCTTCTTCCCTTGCCTGTGGGGAGGGTCAGGTTTGGATCCAGTCCTTGGTGGGCACAAACCCTTGGCTCAGTGAGGTGTGTGGGGCACTGACACTGTCAGGAAGATCAGCTGCTGTCTTTTCACAGCAACAGAGGCCTAGGCCTTCAGTGCAACCAGATCCCCATGTGCCTGTGCTGGGGCAGGTACCCAGTTAGAGGTTACAGGCTCTCACATGTCTCCTGTGTGACACCCCAGCCGCTGATGTAGCAGTGGACGAGTTTTGACACCTCTGTCCTGGCATCGGGCAGGCAGGCAAGCTGTGCATAGTCATTGCACACAATTGGCTGGCTGAGCTCCAGCAGAGCGATGTCGTTCCTCTCCATGCGCGGCTCGTAGCGCTCGTGCTGCACCACCTGCTTGATGGAGCGCACCTGGGCCTCGGGGCCAAGTTGGGAGAGCTGAGATGCACCAATCACAACACGCCACTGCGGGAGCAGCCTGGAGAACAGAGTGGTAGTCAGTCGTGGGGAGGGGGCAGGAAGGGATAGAAAGGTTCTTCTCCCGGCCAGTGGAAATCCCCAGAGACATGCATTGTAGCTGGGTGCATTGTGCTGCCTTATTATCTGAAGTACAGGAGAAAGCAGCAGTCCCATGGCATGGCCAGTCCCACAGCATTGCCCCGGTGCCCTTCTAGCTTTCCAGTGCTGGGCATACATTGAAAAGTGGGGGGGGGGCGAGCTGCTGTCCCTAGTTGGCACCATGCTTAGGCTGTGAGGGCACCCTTCCCGCAAGGTCCCTTCTCTCACCTTCTCTTGGCTTTGAAGCAGTGAGCTGCTGTGAGGACCCAGCGGGCGCTGATGAGGGACCCGCCACACGAATGCCGGGGGCCTGTTCGAGTGGGGATCTGGATGCTGACGAGCCAGGGCCAGGCCCCTGGCAGAGCATCGACGCCACCCACGATCCGCATCCCCCCATAGCCAGACACCAGGGGGCGGTGCCCACAAACTGCACTGGAGACAGAGGCGCATTACCTTCCTGCAGCAGGGATTTGACACCCTGGGGCTGACCTTTGCTCTAAACTATTTCTCTTACTCCCCCGGTCTTGCCGTGCATCTGCTGTCATGCCTCCTGCTTCTCCCTGGATGCAGCATGTGGGCAGCAGCAGGGCCTAGGAGCCCTGTGTGTTACCCCATGGGAGCTGGCCCATGAGATTTATATGCCAGGGCCTTGTTGCCAACCCACAAGGCGTAGATGTTACCTGATCCTGGGCATCACCCAGGGCAGGGGGCAAGGATTATTGTCAAGACAGCCTCATGTTGGGGGAAAAGCAATGCACTTTGGTGCTGGGAAACTGCCCCATCAGGGCCACTCTCCCTATAGCAGACTTAGACAAAATACAGCCCACAGGCTGAATCCGGCCCCCAAGCCACCGGATCCCACCCATGGACTCTATGGGGAGCACCAGGCAGGCTCCCCGCTAGCCTTGTCACACCTGCATGCCACTCAGAAACTCACACCTGCATGCCACTCAGGGTGGTTTTTCTTTTAACCAGAAACTGGCCAATGGGAACTGTCTGTTTCAGTAACAGGCAGCCACAAAGCACAAAGGGCTCCAGCGCACATGGCTGCAGCATGTTTGGATTGGGGCAGGCAGGGAGGCTGATTCAGGAATGGCTGCTGGCTGGTAAGTCTTCTGGACAGAACCTGCCTTTGGCACCCCAGTCCCCCCTTTCCCCAATCTTCTGCCCCCTCACTCTACATACCCAAATCCTCTGCTCCCCTCCTGAACCCATATCCCCTCCCACATCTGGCACCGCAATCCCCTGCCCCAGATCACAGTCCCCTCCTGCCCTAGTTCACAACTCAAATCCCTGCACCCCCTCCTGTACCCCAATTCCCTGCCCTAGGTCACAATCCAACCTCCTGCACCCTAGTCCAGTGCCCCAGGTCACAACTGCCTCTTTCATCCACACTCCCTCCCTTATCCCAAGCTCTTTCTGCACCCAACCTCCATTCCAGACCCCGCACCTCCATTAAAATCGTGCCATACCACTCAATCACTTTCCCAAATTCTTGGAGTGCCCACCCCTGCCATATAGCCTCTCAAGACCCACATGTCACTTACTCACAGCTGCCTTCCGTGCTGTGCCAGGGCCAGACCAAGGTGTGGAGGAGGAGGAGGCGGGAGAGCAGCCTCATCTTCCACCAGACACATACATCTACAGCGACGTGCCACACCACTCGTGACATCATAAACCAAGTCCTGAGCTTCCGTCCAATCAGTGGCTGGCCAATATGACATCAGAGAGGTCTCTGGTTTCCTCCTTCCTTTGTGACTGGCAAGTGGAGCTGAGAAGATACTGATGGAGGCATTAGGGCCAAGGCTGTGAACACTGAGGGGATGACATGGAAGGTAACTTCCATGGGCAGTGGAGATATCTGGGGACAGGTAGGCTACTTACTGGCATGTCTGCTTTCAGCACAGAGGGAAATCTCCCTGGACAATGTATCCAGCTTGGCAGGCTCTCCTCCCACCCTGCTGTCTCTGTAGTAGAGCATGCTGGGTGCATTACTCCACTCTGCAGGTTAGGTGACCATGTTCTCCAGGCACTCTATGCCCTGCAGAGGCAGCATAGAATAGCTGCCTAGATTCTCCCAGGCTATGTCTACACTGGCATGATTTTGTGCAAGAACTCTTTTGCAGAGGAGTTCTTGTGCAAAAACTCTTCCAGAAGAGAGCGTCTACACTGGCATGTGCCTTTGCACAAGAGATGTGCTCTCTTGCGCAAGAAAGCTCTGATGGCCATTTTAACCACAGGGCTTTCTTGCTCAAGCAATTCATGTTGCCTGTCTACACTGGCCTCTTGCACAAGAACAGTTGCACAAGAGGGCTTATTCCTGAGCGGGAGCATCAGAGGTCTTGCACAAGAAGCACTGATTTCATACATTAGAATGTCAGTGTACTTACACAAGAACTCGCGGCCAGTGTAGACAGGCAGCAAGTTTTGGCGCAAAACCGTCCGCTTTTGCGCAAGATCGCACCAATGTAGACACAGCCCCAGAGTCCACTGATAACATAAATTACAAGAAGGAACTTAGAACTAGCCACGCTGGATCAGCTCCATCTAGACCAATGTCCTCTATGCTTGGCCAGACCCACATGCTCCATAGGCAAGTGTAAGAACCTCAAATCAGCAGATGAAAGGTAATCTCAGCCTCCTTCCAAAGGTCTGGTTCTAACCCTCAACTGTTAGAAACTGTTTCATGATTTAATCCAGTGTTTAATATCCCTTCCAAAACCTTGTATTACTTGACTCTTATAAATCTGGATGTTCTCATCCATATAAATGTTCAGTCCTTTTTAGACTTTTGCTAAGTGTTCTGGCACTGGGGGGAGCCTGGGGGGGGGTTGGATGCAGTGGGGCTCTGGAAACAGAAGGCTGGCACTGGAGGGGTCTGGTGGTGGGGGGCTCTAAGCCTTTAGGGGCAGAGGGCTAGTGGATCTGAAACCAGCTGTTCACGGTAGTTTTGGGGGCCGTGGATTTTAGCAGACTGGTAATATTTTATTTTCATATTTGCATAATGAATATGCAAATATGGAAATAAAATATTACCGGTCCGCCAAAAGTTTGTGAATGGGTTTGCTGGTCCTGGGTATCAAAAACCCCAAAAGGTTGGGAGCCACTGGCTTATAGAATTCTGATATGCGATTAGTATGGTACATTATCTATGATGTTCCCTTGACAGGTTGTCAGTGCTGTTAGAGTGGGTGGAAAATGGAAGGAGAGGCAGAACACCAGATAGGGATATTGGAGGAAGTGGGAGCAGGGTACCACTGAGGATCCCACCAGAGCAGAGAGAGGTGAGAGTCTAAGTAGAGATCCCAGATTGGAGGGGTGGTGAAGCCACAGCACAGACAGTGAGTGGGGCTGGGATTGCACAGAGGGGCTCCGGCCTGTGTATTGGCAGCTGTCAGTGTCAGGCAGGCTGGTGATACCTGTGAAGTTGGGGCTAGTGCTGGGGGCGAGGGCTGTGCACTGAGAAGGCTCCAACCGGTATACCTGGCAGCTGTCGGCACCTGGGCAGAGGTTGGTGATGCCAGAGTATGCCGGGGAGTTTGGGGTCAGTGCCAGGTGGGGGCTGGGCTATGAGAGGGCTCCGGGCTGAGTACCTGGCAGCTGTCGGCACCTGGGCAGAGGTTGGTGATGCCAGAGTATGCCGGGGAGTTTGGGGTCAGTGCCAGGTGGGGGCTGGGCTATGAGAGGGCTCCGGGCTGAGTACCTGGCAGCTGTCGGCACCTGGGCAGAGGTTGGTGATGCCAGAGTATGCCGGGGAGTTTGGGGTCAGTGCCAGGTGGGGGCTGGGCTATGAGAGGGCTCCGGGCTGAGTACCTGGCAGCTGTCGGCACCTGGGCAGAGGTTGGTGATGCCAGAGTATGCCGGGGAGTTTGGGGTCAGTGCCAGGTGGGGGCTGGGCTATGAGAGGGCTCCGGGCTGAGTACCTGGCAGCTGTCGATGCCTCCTTGCTCGTACCCTGCACACAGGTTGTTGCTGGCGATGGCCCCGTTGTACCAGCGGCTGCTGTTGCAGGTTGTGGTGTCAATAAGATGCACCTTGGCTTCCTGCAGGATGTCAGCTGTTTCCAGAGCTGTGGGGACATGAAGAATATTTACTGCAGAGCTTCGAGCCCTATTTCCTGCTTCCCAGCACCGCTCATGGGTGTTCCCCTCCCCTGGTGCCTATCCTTGACTCTGCTGTCACCTTTGCAGGAGGTAGCTTTGCTATGCATCCCCTCCTCTTCTTCCCTTGCCTGTGGGGAGGGTCAGGTTTGGATCCAGTCCTTGGTGGGCACAAACCCTTGGCTCAGTGAGGTGTGTGGGGCACTGACACTGTCAGGAAGATCAGCTGCTGTCTTTTCACAGCAACAGAGGCCTAGGCCTTCAGTGCAACCAGATCCCCATGTGCCTGTGCTGGGGCAGGTACCCAGTTAGAGGTTACAGGCTCTCACATGTCTCCTGTGTGACACCCCAGCCGCTGATGTAGCAGTGGACGAGTTTTGACACCTCTGTCCTGGCATCGGGCAGGCAGGCAAGCTGTGCATAGTCATTGCACACAATTGGCTGGCTGAGCTCCAGCAGAGCGATGTCGTTCCTCTCCATGCGCGGCTCGTAGCGCTCGTGCTGCACCACCTGCTTGATGGAGCGCACCTGGGCCTCGGGGCCAAGTTGGGAGAGCTGAGATGCACCAATCACAACACGCCACTGCGGGAGCAGCCTGGAGAACAGAGTGGTAGTCAGTCGTGGGGAGGGGGCAGGAAGGGATAGAAAGGTTCTTCTCCCGGCCAGTGGAAATCCCCAGAGACATGCATTGTAGCTGGGTGCATTGTGCTGCCTTATTATCTGAAGTACAGGAGAAAGCAGCAGTCCCATGGCATGGCCAGTCCCACAGCATTGCCCCGGTGCCCTTCTAGCTTTCCAGTGCTGGGCATACATTGAAAAGTGGGGGGGGGGCGAGCTGCTGTCCCTAGTTGGCACCATGCTTAGGCTGTGAGGGCACCCTTCCCGCAAGGTCCCTTCTCTCACCTTCTCTTGGCTTTGAAGCAGTGAGCTGCTGTGAGGACCCAGCGGGCGCTGATGAGGGACCCGCCACACGAATGCCGGGGGCCTGTTCGAGTGGGGATCTGGATGCTGACGAGCCAGGGCCAGGCCCCTGGCAGAGCATCGACGCCACCCACGATCCGCATCCCCCCATAGCCAGACACCAGGGGGCGGTGCCCACAAACTGCACTGGAGACAGAGGCGCATTACCTTCCTGCAGCAGGGATTTGACACCCTGGGGCTGACCTTTGCTCTAAACTATTTCTCTTACTCCCCCGGTCTTGCCGTGCATCTGCTGTCATGCCTCCTGCTTCTCCCTGGATGCAGCATGTGGGCAGCAGCAGGGCCTAGGAGCCCTGTGTGTTACCCCATGGGAGCTGGCCCATGAGATTTATATGCCAGGGCCTTGTTGCCAACCCACAAGGCGTAGATGTTACCTGATCCTGGGCATCACCCAGGGCAGGGGGCAAGGATTATTGTCAAGACAGCCTCATGTTGGGGGAAAAGCAATGCACTTTGGTGCTGGGAAACTGCCCCATCAGGGCCACTCTCCCTATAGCAGACTTAGACAAAATACAGCCCACAGGCTGAATCCGGCCCCCAAGCCACCGGATCCCACCCATGGACTCTATGGGGAGCACCAGGCAGGCTCCCCGCTAGCCTTGTCACACCTGCATGCCACTCAGAAACTCACACCTGCATGCCACTCAGGGTGGTTTTTCTTTTAACCAGAAACTGGCCAATGGGAACTGTCTGTTTCAGTAACAGGCAGCCACAAAGCACAAAGGGCTCCAGCGCACATGGCTGCAGCATGTTTGGATTGGGGCAGGCAGGGAGGCTGATTCAGGAATGGCTGCTGGCTGGTAAGTCTTCTGGACAGAACCTGCCTTTGGCACCCCAGTCCCCCCTTTCCCCAATCTTCTGCCCCCTCACTCTACATACCCAAATCCTCTGCTCCCCTCCTGAACCCATATCCCCTCCCACATCTGGCACCGCAATCCCCTGCCCCAGATCACAGTCCCCTCCTGCCCTAGTTCACAACTCAAATCCCTGCACCCCCTCCTGTACCCCAATTCCCTGCCCTAGGTCACAATCCAACCTCCTGCACCCTAGTCCAGTGCCCCAGGTCACAACTGCCTCTTTCATCCACACTCCCTCCCTTATCCCAAGCTCTTTCTGCACCCAACCTCCATTCCAGACCCCGCACCTCCATTAAAATCGTGCCATACCACTCAATCACTTTCCCAAATTCTTGGAGTGCCCACCCCTGCCATATAGCCTCTCAAGACCCACATGTCACTTACTCACAGCTGCCTTCCGTGCTGTGCCAGGGCCAGACCAAGGTGTGGAGGAGGAGGAGGCGGGAGAGCAGCCTCATCTTCCACCAGACACATACATCTACAGCGACGTGCCACACCACTCGTGACATCATAAACCAAGTCCTGAGCTTCCGTCCAATCAGTGGCTGGCCAATATGACATCAGAGAGGTCTCTGGTTTCCTCCTTCCTTTGTGACTGGCAAGTGGAGCTGAGAAGATACTGATGGAGGCATTAGGGCCAAGGCTGTGAACACTGAGGGGATGACATGGAAGGTAACTTCCATGGGCAGTGGAGATATCTGGGGACAGGTAGGCTACTTACTGGCATGTCTGCTTTCAGCACAGAGGGAAATCTCCCTGGACAATGTATCCAGCTTGGCAGGCTCTCCTCCCACCCTGCTGTCTCTGTAGTAGAGCATGCTGGGTGCATTACTCCACTCTGCAGGTTAGGTGACCATGTTCTCCAGGCACTCTATGCCCTGCAGAGGCAGCATAGAATAGCTGCCTAGATTCTCCCAGGCTATGTCTACACTGGCATGATTTTGTGCAAGAACTCTTTTGCAGAGGAGTTCTTGTGCAAAAACTCTTCCAGAAGAGAGCGTCTACACTGGCATGTGCCTTTGCACAAGAGATGTGCTCTCTTGCGCAAGAAAGCTCTGATGGCCATTTTAACCACAGGGCTTTCTTGCTCAAGCAATTCATGTTGCCTGTCTACACTGGCCTCTTGCACAAGAACAGTTGCACAAGAGGGCTTATTCCTGAGCGGGAGCATCAGAGGTCTTGCACAAGAAGCACTGATTTCATACATTAGAATGTCAGTGTACTTACACAAGAACTCGCGGCCAGTGTAGACAGGCAGCAAGTTTTGGCGCAAAACCGTCCGCTTTTGCGCAAGATCGCACCAATGTAGACACAGCCCCAGAGTCCACTGATAACATAAATTACAAGAAGGAACTTAGAACTAGCCACGCTGGATCAGCTCCATCTAGACCAATGTCCTCTATGCTTGGCCAGACCCACATGCTCCATAGGCAAGTGTAAGAACCTCAAATCAGCAGATGAAAGGTAATCTCAGCCTCCTTCCAAAGGTCTGGTTCTAACCCTCAACTGTTAGAAACTGTTTCATGATTTAATCCAGTGTTTAATATCCCTTCCAAAACCTTGTATTACTTGACTCTTATAAATCTGGATGTTCTCATCCATATAAATGTTCAGTCCTTTTTAGACTTTTGCTAAGTGTTTGGCCCTACCAGCTTCATAGAACTGTAGAACACTAGAACTGGAAGAGACCTCAAGAGATCAAGTCCGGTCCCCTGCCCTCCCAGCAGGACCAAGCACTGTCTATATAATCGCAGATATTCCAGAGATGGAGATTCCACAACCTCCCTAGGCAATTGATTCCCGTGTTTGACCAGCCTGACAGGTAGGAAGTTTTTTTTCTAATGTCCAACCTAAACCTCCCTTGCTGCAGTTTAAGCCCATTGCTGTTTGTCCTGTCCTCAGAGGCCAAGGAGAACAATTTTTCTCCCTCCTCCCTGTGACACCCTTTTAGATACCTGAAAACCTCTATCATGTCCCCTCTCAGTCTTCTCCTTTCCAAACTAAACAAGCCCAATTCTTTCAGTCTTTCCTCGTAGGTCATGTTCTCTAGACCTTTAATCATTCTTGTTGCTCTTCTCTGGACCGTCTCCAGTTTCTCCCATCTTTCTTGAAATGCGGTGCCCAGAACTGGACACAATATTCCGATTGAGGCCTAATCAGCGCAGAGTAGAGTAAAAGAATGACTTCTAGGGTGTGTCTAGACTACATGGCTCCGTCGATGGAGGCATGTAGATTAGACAGATAGGCAAAGGGAAATGAAGCCGCGATTTAAATAATCGCGGCTTCATTTAAATTTACATGGCTGCCGCGCTGAGCCGACAAACAGCTGATCAGCAGTTTGTTGGCTCCGGGCGCTAGTCTGGACGCGCCGCGCCGACCTGAAAGCATTTTATCGACATCCCCCTTATGCCTCGTAGGATGAGGTTTACAGGGGATGTCGATAAAAGGCTTTCATTTCGACAAGGGAGCATCCAGACTAGCGCCCGGAGCCAACAAACAGCTGATCAGCTGTTTGTCGGCTCAGCGTGGCAGCCATGTAAATTTAAATGAAGCCGCAATTATTTAAATCGCGGCTTCATTTCCCTTTTTCGAATACACAGATCTACATGCCTCCGTCGACGGAGGCATGTAGTTTAGACTTACCCTTAGTGTCTTGCTCACAACACTCCTGTTAATGAATCCCAGAACCATGTTTGCTTTTTTTGCACCAGTGTCACATTGGTGGCTCATAGTTAGCTTGTGGTCTACCATGACCCCTAGTTCTTTTTCTGCAGTACTCCTTCTTAGACAGTCACTTCCCATGCTGTGTGTGTGAAATGGATTGTTCCTCCCTGAGTACTTTGCATCTGTCCTTATTAAAATTCACCCTATTTACCTCAGTCCATTTCTCCAGTTTTTCTAGAGCATTTTGCATTATGACCCTATTCTCCAAAGCAGTTGCAACGCTTAATAACCGTACTCTCCATGCCAATATGTAAATCGTTGATGAAGAGAGTGAACAGAGCCGGTCCCAAAACAGACCCCTGCGGAACCCCACTTGTTAGGCCTTTACAACATGACCATTGACAGGCTGCATCTAGACTGGCAAGTTTTTCCACAAAAGCAGCCGCTTTTGCGGAAAAACTTGCCAGCTGTCACACTGGCCTCTTGAATTTGTGTGAGAACACTGACGATCTCATGTAAGCTTGTCAGTGTTCTTGCGCAAATACTATGCTGCTCCCGTTCGGGAAAAGCCCTCGTGGGCAAATGTATGTGCGCAAGAGGGCCAGTGTAGACAGCTAAAAAGTGTTTTGCGAAAAAAGCCCTGATGATGAAAATGGTGATCGGGGCTTTCTTGCGCAAAACCGCGTCTAGATTGGCACAGACGCTTTTCCGCAAAAAGTGCTTTTGCACAAAAGCGTCCGTGTCAATCTAGACGCTCTTTTCCGCAAATGCTTTTAACAGAAAAACGTTTCCGTTAAAAGCATTTGTGGAAAATCCTGCCAGTCTAGACGTAGCCAGAGTGTTTGAGTCATTCCGGTTTTCCCCTCCAATGTGCATTCCTGTGCACGTATCTGCACTGCAAGTGGACAGACAGATGCCCTCACATGGTGCAAGGTTGTGAAGTAGGAAATTGTGCCCAGTGTGGAGCAATATGTCACAGAGGAATGTGTGGGAAGTTTGACTGTGATCTAGCAAAAGGTCCTGCTCACAGTTTGCACTGGGGGCAGCCCAACCAATGCCTGCAGCATTTACTGCACAGACTGGATCTGTTTATGACAGCGGAGATGTATTTAGTGAGTATTGTGGCAGCGTCAGTCCCACTTCTGGATCCCAGACCCCTGGGCAGTCCACTATCCCACAGTCTAGGTCTTGCAGATCGGGTACCACCTGCCCTTGCCAGGGTTGGGCTTCAGTTCTCCCACTAAAAGGACGTGGGGTAGATGCCCCTTGGTCAGCCTGGGTTTGGCAACCAGTTACTGGCTGGAGTTTCAGGCTCCTGGGGGAAGGGAGCCCAAGCAGTCCCTGGCAGAGCACCTCACCTTCCCCTGTGGTTTCTGGCAATGCTGACCTTGACTTTCTCTGAGCTCTTTATCAGTTACAAGTTCCCTTTCACTTCTGCTGCCTCCACTCTCTAAACACCTGCCCCTCCGCAGGGAAGGCTTTTTAAAAGACCTCGTGGCTACCTGAAGTCAAATCTCCTGCCCCTTAATTGAGTTACAGCAGCCCCACCCCAGCTGCTTCCACTCTAATAACCTCAGGCTAGCTGCTCCTGGCTGTCCTGAAGTAACAGCTCTCGTCTAGCCCTCTAACCTGCCCTGTCTCAGTATTTAAATAGTGCTTTGAAGGTGCAAAGCCGACCAGTGACTCAGCATCATTACCTCATCTGGCATTGGCCCCTGTCTGCAGACAGGATACTGGGCTGGCTGGGCCTTTGCTCTGACCCAGTGTGGCCATAAGAACATACCAGTGTGAGAACGGCCATACTGGGTCAGACCAAAGGGCCACCTAGGTCCTTCTTACGTTCACATCACTGGTGCGGCCTGGGGGGGTAAATGCATCCCAGATGCACTTGGGAAGTGTGTATTGCTCAAGAGCTTCTCTTTTCCAGCTGCATTCCCCAGCCTTGCTGCAGGGAACCCCTCTAATGTGGCGGCCAACCCACAGCAAGGAAACACTTTTCTACATTTGAGGGAGTGGGAAGAGCCCTCCAGGCAAGAGCCTCCCTTTGAGTGTGACACCTTGCCAGGAAGTGAGCCCAGTTCACAGGGGGAGCCTTAGAAAACAATTGTCCTCCTGTGTAACTGTGGGCATGGTGGCGTTGAGTGAGAATTGGGGAGCATCTGCCTGAGACCTGTGAATTGCCTGCAGCCGGTCTCAGGGCTCTTCAGTGTTGGAGAATGCCAGGAACCTGAGCGCCCACTTAGCTCCAGCAGAGCAGGGTGCAGTGGGAGATTTTAAGGTCCAAAGAGAACATTATAATTAAATAAATTGTGGATTATTCCTATTCTGAACGTGTCTCGCTTCAGCTTCCAGCCATGAGCTCTTGTTCTGCTTTTGTCTGTTAGGATAAAGAGCCCTGTGCTGTCAGAAATCTCCTCATGTAAGTACTTGGTCAAGTCACCTCTCAAACTGCTTAGTCTCTCACTCTAAGACACATTTTCCAGACCCTGAAACGTTCTCATAGCCCGTTCTCTTCCTGACCCTTCCCAATGTACTTTACTGACGTGCAGACCCTAACTGGATCCAGAACCCAAAGTTGTATAAAGAGATAAAACATCTCTCTCCCTAGTTCTATCCCCCGCTAACACGCTCTAGCCACAGCGTCACGTTGAGCGTTCATTTCAGCTGTGTTCTACCATGATCCCTGAGTCCTTTTCAGAGTCTCTGCTTTCCAAGATGACCCTTCCCAATGTACTTTACTGACGTGCAGACCCTAACTGGATCCAGAACCCAAAGTTGTATAAAGAGATAAAACATCTCTCTCCCTAGTTCTATCCCCCGCTAACACGCTCTAGCCACAGCGTCACGTTGAGCGTTCATTTCAGCTGTGTTCTACCATGATCCCTGAGTCCTTTTCAGAGTCTCTGCTTTCCAAGATACAGCTACATTCTTTTTTGCTAGTGCTGCAGCTGATTGCAGTGTAGCAGTGGACTGTGCTGATTTTGCTTTCACCTCCCTCTAGCGCTGCTCCGCAAACTCATTCTTTTCTCGTGACTGGTTCTTCAAGGTAATCGCCCATATGGAGCCACACGGCGGGGGTGGGCACTTGTCCTCCCAGATTCCAAAGGTGTGAAAGGGCCCCAGACACCCCATATCCCCTCTTTCTCTGCAAGCGCTTTCCCCAAGACTCACACGAGCAGGGTCACAACTACTCTGCTAAGGAACTATTTTTCTTTCCTTGAGAAGGTCCCATAGATTCATTCCCCTTGCTGGTCAATTCGTAAGCAGCTCTGGGCCTCCAGGAGCACTAGCTGCAACGTTTGGGGGACTTGTGCACCAGCTTGAGGGCGTAAAGGACATGCAAAGTGTGGCTTTGTATACATCAGTGAGGGAGACACTGTGCAGGCTTTAGCCCTAGCTGAGTGTGCACTGATCTCCCCAGGTGGCTGATCAGCAGCCAGGTGATAACTGTGGTACAGTCTGAGTCAGCTGTACTACCTGGGAACTGTGATCGATTGGATTGGCCTCACCCTCTGTGCCACAAAGGTTTAAGGCCCTTGGAAATACATTTGGTTCCATGTACAATATAACTGCACTGCAGGCTCACAAAGTGTGGGGCAGGCCATGATTCCTCGAATGGGTGTGAGGTGTTGGAAAAACACAGAGGGGCTAATGACCTGACAGCACAAGGGTGGCTGAAACAAAGGCTCTCTGGCATCAATTCCTGGCTCTGCCACGGACTCCTGTGCAAGTCCCTAGGCTATGTCTACACTGAGGGCTTTTTGCGCAAGAACAGCCATTCTTGTGCAAAAACTTGTGGAGCGGCTCTCTTGTGCAAGAAAGCTCTAATGGTCATTTTAGCCATAGGGTTTCTTGTGCAAGAAACCCCTGTTGCCCATCCACACTGCCTTCTTGCACAAGAGCTCTTGTGCAAGAAGGCAGTGTGGATGGGCAACAGGGGTTTCTTGCACAAGAAACCCTATGGCTAAAATGACCATTAGAGCTTTCTTGCACAAGAGAGCATCTACACTGCCATGGATGCTCTTGCACAAAAGCACATCTCTTGTGCAAAAGCACATGGCAGTGTGCACATGCCCTTGTGCAAGACCTTTTGCTCAAAAACTCTTGCGCAAAACAGTTCTCATGCAAGAAGCCTGTAGTGTAGACGTAGCCTATGTGTGCCTGTTCCCCACTGGAACACTGAAGGGAGGCTCTAGCGTCTCTCCTCTCCCCATCTCTCCTGCCTGCAGGCCCTGTGGCCACAGGACTCCATGGGCTGGAAGGGACCCTCGGGACAGCAGGCCAGCTCTATGTGCCATCCTCACCACCATTGTCCTCTCAATCTCTGCAAATCTGTCAGCTATGGTTGCAGATAATTTTAGAAAGATGCAAGCAGAGCAGGATGGGTGAAGATCCAGATAGGCCCCTCTGTGTGGGACATGAGCCTGGTACCTTGGTTGCCTGAGCAGCGCTGAGCTTCAGCTCCTGAGGAGGGGCAGAGACACGGGTGCCTTGCAAACAGACGAGAAGGGCACCAAAGAGGGAAACTTAACACGTGTAATGCGCACGTGGGCCGGGTCACTCGCTCACCGTCCCTCAGGGCAGCAGGTGCTGCTGATCCCCGTCAGGCTCTGCATTCCCCCAGTAGGTTGAGTCAAGACTGTTCTTCCCAGTTTGCCTCAGTCTCTCTTATAATCCTGATGGGCTCCAGACTTCTGGGGTGCAGACAAGGCGGAGACAGCTGGTCGGGAGGGGCTGCTGAGTGACATGGGCGGGCTACTCGCTTTGTGATGACTATGGGGGTATATCTTTGGGGGGATCAGTAATTTCAGGACAATTACTGGCCTGGAGGGATTAATTTGTGGGGGATAAATGGCTTTGTGGGTGACGAATGGTCTGTGTGGGGTGACCGGTTCAGGGAGAATGACTGGCTTTGGTGAGATATAGGGCGGCTCCAGGGAAGGGACTGGCTCTGGGGGTATGTAGGGCGGCTCCAGGGAAGGGACTGGCTCGGGAGGGACGTATGGTGGCTCCAGGGGGGGAACTGGCTCTGGGGGTATGTAGGGGGATAAATGGCTTTGTGGGTGACGAATGGTCTGTGTGGGGTGACCGGTTCAGGGAGAATGACTGGCTTTGGTGAGATATAGGGCGGCTCCAGGGAAGGGACTGGCTCTGGGGGTATGTAGGGCGGCTCCAGGGAAGGGACTGGCTCGGGAGGGACGTATGGTGGCTCCAGGGGGGGAACTGGCTCTGGGGGTATGTAG